TTCTGAAAAAATTTCACAAATAAATATTCTGAATTGTTAATGACACCAATATATTACTACTAGTTGTCAAAGAAAATAGACAGTATATTACGAGAGTTAAAAAGGCTCAGCCTAAGGCCAAGGCTACAGATGCCGAGGCTGAGGATGCTTTGCCGATTTCGAAGCTAGTTGAAAGTAAAAAATCAGCCTCTACTTCAACCAAGAGGTCTGCTGAGGGCCAACCTTCAGGGTCTACACAAACAAAGAGGCCAAGATCATCGTCTGCGACGACCTCGGCTTCGAAGAAGCCCGACGTCCCCTGGGCCCCTGATCTATCCCTGGAGGATAGGCCCATTATGGCTAGTGAAAGTGCTGACAACATTAATGTTGCTGTCGCCCTTAGCACTGCTCTTCTTCTACCAAATGACTTGGAACGAAATGGCAAGCTTAGTGAGTATGAAAATTACGCTCTTATGCTCCAACACTCCGCTCAAGTAAGTATTTCTGTTTGTATTTGTGTTTTTTCCTTCTGTTTCTTTCTGAGAAAATTTTCTGATACTTCTGTTTTCATTCAGGCTATCCAACACGCCCATTCATTTTCAATGCAATCCTTTGAAAATCGTCAAAGATTGGTTGATATGAAGAGGGAAGCATCGTCAATGGAGAGAGAGATAAGGGCCCTTGAAGCAAAAATGAAAAAACTGGAGGATCAGGCCGAGGCTGCAACGAAAGTTCAAACTTTAGCTCTTGAGAAGGTCGAGGCTGCTGAAGCCGTTAAAAAAGTAGCTGAAGCCGAGAAAAGAAAGGCTGAGGCTAGGAAGGCCCAAGCGGAGAAAGAACTCCAGCAGGCTCTGGCCACCAAAGAGGCCGAAGTCAAAGAGGCCGATGAAAAGGCCTATGCTCAAGGTATGGCTGATGTTGCAGAGGACTACAAGCTTCAAGTCAGGCAGGCATGCAACAGGGGATTTTCCCTTGGTTGGATGTCCTTGATAAAGAAGCTTGATCTTCCTGCTGACTCGCCATTGCGTCAGGCCGACGCTATTCCTACCATTTCCTCCACCTCCTCCTGAAGGTGAATCAGAGTCTGAGGCCGATGCTGTGGATGAAGATGAAGAACAAGATGATGGTGACGCCTTGGTGAGAAAACCCAAGGATGCTGCCGAAGCCAAATCCCCTCCTCCTGCTGAGCAGGTTATTAACTTAACTTTGGATGAGGAGGGTGATGAGGTTGAGGGGGCACCCAAGGAGACTGCCACTGGGGAGCTATCGTCCAATCTTCCCCTGATAGAAAGAAGTGTTGAGGAATCATTGGCAGAGATTGATGCCGAGATACAGGCGGAAAAGGTGGCCGACGAGGTTCCTCTAGAATCGTCCGAGGTCCCAGTCCCTGCAGTGGCTAATATTGAAGAAGCTTGACAAAATTGCCTTTTGTACTTTTTCCTTCTTTTTCTGTACTTTGTACTTTGTACTTTTTTACTTTCTGGATAATGCAAAACTCTTTCCTTTGGCCGACGTGGTTTCTTTAATATGTAACTTCAACAGTTCTTTCTCTGGATGTTTTAATCTTGCGATATTCTGTTGACTGCTTTTGCATAGTCATATACTTAAAATTTTTTTTGCATGTTTCTTCATGTTGCTTCCTTTGTGCAATCTTCTCGGGGTTTCATACCTCGGGTATAACCATGAAACTTTTATTTCGGCAAGGAAACTGTCCTGCAATCTTTTCATAAATTTCAACAAGTATAGAACATATAATTCGGAATGTAAACTTTTGCAAGCTTCTTCTTAAGTTTCAACAAGTTTTAAACGGTTATCTTAGTCTTACCTACTTGTAAATTGCTACAAATTTCAACAAGTGAAGATAAGGAATCAGCTCGGCCTGGCTTTGCCTGTGTTTGATATGCCTTAAATATGCATAACTTTATCAATCAAACATGTTGAAAGGATTCTGAAATAGACTTTATTGATGATATCGGCCAAACATTGATGTTTTATCTAATGATAGAAACATTTCAAATTACAAGTATTCCATGGTCTGGGCAGTGCTTTGCCCTCATTGTCCTCAAGCCGATATGCTCCATTGCCTAGTACTGAAGTAACTCTGTAGGGTCCTTCCCAGTTTGGGCCAAGCTTGCCCTCCCTGGGATCCTTCTTGTTCCCGACGACTTTTCTTAGGACTAAGTCGCCAACTTGAAAATCTCTTGGATTAACCTTCTTGTTGTAAGCTCTGGCAAGCTGTTGCTGGTATACTGCGAGCTGAATTGCAGCTTTCTCTCTTCGTTCTTCCAACAAATCCAGGTCTCGGGCTAAGAGTATGTCATTGGTGCCATTCTCTACTCCCTGGGTTCTGATCCCTGGGATGCCGATCTCTAATGGGATGACTGCTTCTGTTCCATAGGCCATGGCAAAGGGCGATTCTCCTGTTGATCTTCTTGGTGTAGTCCGATATGCCCAAAGTACGTTGGGTAATTCGTCAACCCACTTTCCTTTTGCTGCCTGCAGCCTCTTCTTTATTCCATCCAGGATTACTTTGTTGGATGCTTCTGCTTGCCCATTGCTTTGAGGAAAACTTGGTGTTGAGAAATAATTCTTGATCTTGAATTTTGCACAAAAGTTTTTGATGAGTTTGCTGTCGAATTGTGTCCCGTTGTCGGCAACGATTGCTCTTGGAATCCCAAATCTGGTGATTATGTTTCTCCAAATAAAATTCTTGACATCCACATCTCGGATTTTGGCAAGAGGTTCTGCCTCTATCCATTTTGTGAAGTAGTCTGTTGCTACCAGCAAGTATTTTCTTTGCCCAGTTGCTTGGGGAAGTTGTCCAACCAGATCCATGCCCCATTGGGCAAACGGCCAAGGGCTGGATACTGGGTTTAGGTCGGCAGCTGGCTGATGTATCAAAGGTGCAAACCTTTGACATTGTTCACACTTCTTTACATAGGCTTCAGCATCCTTTTGCATGTAGGGCCACCAATACCCCTGGGTAATGGCCCTGTGGGCTAACGATCTGCCCCCAACATGACGCGCCTGGAAGCTGTCTGTTCGTTTCGTCTGCGCCGTCTGACGCGTGCGTTACCCTAGGCGTAATGATTGCCCTAATTTTGCCGCCGTTTCATA